TGGTAAACATCACTTAGGTCTTTAGAAAGATTTGCTTTTCATCTTCACAGAATCACACATGGGACTTATCCTGCCTTGCTACACTAAGGAAGTATCAAGTATATGACATATGGTAGTATTTTTGAGACTACAGTAAAAAAAAAAAAAATCCCTCCCCCCCACAACTCCCCTGCCTCAGACCTGGAGTCTCAAGCAGTAATAATGATGCCATGATCAGAAAGTTGTGTTTTGTCAGGTTGAGCCCTGAACGGGTAGCAGCATAATTCCATGCTGCTGGTGGAGCCTGGTGCAGCTGTGCAAAATGAGAATGTTGTTTATTGTTTCAAGAGTCGCTTTTTTTCTCTAACAGACTGATGAAGGGATGTTTAGTACATTTGCAACTGGTCGACTGACTGTTGCAAGCTTGACTTCGAATTGATTGAACAAGGGGAAATAAACCAGCAAACAGCCCAAAGAAAAAATTCACTGAGATTCTGACCTTGACATAAAAATGTGTGTTCAGCTTATATCTCTTTGTGTATATAAATTCTACACAGTTGTATAACATCTCCATAGTTTAAACATGGAATTATTACATTTTATATTAAACTTATACACTAAATTGAATTACATGATTGATTCTCATGGGATAAAATTATTATGGTAGACAGCATTTCACTTATAAAACTAAACGTGAGAAAACAGCATCATATCCACTTTAATTAGTAAAATTAAAAACAAAAATTTTGCAAGCTCTCAAGAGTGGCAAGACACAGTGAACGGACAGATTCATTGCTAGAAATAAAATTAACATGGCAGAAAAGAACAGATTAAAAATGGAAAGTTAAAAACACTAAATAAAATGAATGAAACTTTTATGATGTTCTGAATGCAGTCTGTTTCAAGCCCTCATAAATATTAAAGGACTCTTGAAATGAAATATGAAAACCACCTTTTCTTAAGAAACTAGACATGAAAAAATGTCTTCATGGATCTGAGGCACTATGTTATGTTTATTTCTATCTAAAGTTAGGATGGTGATTGGAGAGGAAGGGTGGCAATGGCCACAGAATCATAGCGAGAGGGAAAAAATTAACCAAGTGTCATAGGAAATGAAAGAATTGTAGGCATGGAAATGCCATGGTTTGATGCATGAAGAAACTGAAAGTCCAACCAGAAAGGTGAGGGGGATGCAGGAGGGCAGCCCAACTAGACCCAGGGGTCGTGAGCCTGAGAGCAGGACCCCTTTTTTTTTTTTTTTTTTTGCGGTACGTGGGCCTCTCACTGTTGTGGCCTCTCCCGTTGCGGAGCGCAGGCTCAGCGGCCATGGCTCACGGGCCCAGCCGCTCCGCGGCATGTGGGATCTTCCCGGACCGGGGCACGAACCCACATCTCCTGCATTGGCAGGCGGACTCTCAACCGTTGCGCCACCAGGGAAGCCCAGCAGAACCCCTTTTGCAATCTCATACAACCTCCCGTGAAAAGCAACTTGGTTTAGATGTTTTTTGCTTCTTCTGGAGAGAAACATGGTATTTTCAGCTCAGGAGGTTTTCTTATTAAGGATGTAGAAAACTTCACAAAGTATGTACAAGTTTGAAAAGATAAGAGTTTGGTTTTGTGGTTGGTTAAGAGGCCATGAGGATAGAAAGATCTAGGGAACGGGATAGGAAGAGAGGGAGAGAAACCGAAGAGAGATAAGTTGGGGGTGGAGAAATAGAGATGGGAAAATGAGAGAGAAAAAATACAGAGGAAGAGAGAGCAGGAAGAAGGGTGGGCGGACGGGTGGGCAGGTAGACAGAAAGGCTCAGCGCGTTTCTAAGGCACTGCTGAGCAGGGCTTGACCTGAATTACAGGCTTACAATTGTGACCACTTGTGTACTATGACTATTCTGAAAGGCTGATTAACTCTGAACACTAGTTACAGCTCTTCAACTGCTCGAGAACTTACACCTTTGAGTCTCTACTCTTCACCAGGTCACAAGCAGAATATTCTGCCCAGGGAGAATAAAAAATTTTTAATCTCAGTAACAATAATCAGAGCAGATCATCTTTAAGTCTTTAAGAAAATAAAATCAACAGGTTACGTTCACTCATGATAAATTTCTCTACCCCTGCTTTGAAGAGAGGGCGTTGAATTTCAGGCTGTCTTTTATTGTGAGGTTTGTAATCAACACTGAATTTCTTATAATAGAAAGTTCTTGATTAGTGAAGAAGATACTTTGAAATTTAAGTCTTATGACCTCTCTTCACTTGAGACACATATTCTTCAAAAAGGGGAATTCACTGCAGATCATGAGTGTGAAATTATTTGAAATAAATGGTGACCTACTGGTAACTATGACAGAGCATTTATGCTTTTAGTAATGGCTTTTACAAGAAAGGAAGTCACAGTAAGCCCTTGACCGTAAACATGAGATGTTTGTACTGCACTGGAGTTTGCTCTCAGTCTTTCTGGAAAGCCTCTTATATGATACCATAATCAGCTCAAAGACCATCTCGCTTCTTCACATTAGTAAGTCATGATATTCTACAAAGAGTGAATTCATTGTATGTTTATGTGTAGCCAAATTAAAAATGGATTAACTTCCTGCTTATTATTCATATGGGCCGTTCACATAATCTATATGGATGGCTGAGATATCATTGCACCTAAAACCAAGTAATTTGCTGGAGAACAGACATTCAGATTCACCACTCGAATTGCCCATCTCTAATATTTTCAGTTTTTTTGCCCGATCCTAATAGTATTACTGTGCCCTCTCTTGCATGCTGTATGTGGGGTGTGTGTATACGTGTGTGTGTGTGTGTGGTCCATTGCCATCTGAATACAAAATTTCGACGTGGGCATCAGTGGCATCAAAGTTACATGCTATTACCCACTATATGTAAGTACAGTGCTCGGTAGAGAAAAACTGGGACCAATGATTCCTGACCTTATAGGCTTAAAATCCATTAGAGGGGACTGAACATATGTATAAGGGAAAAAAATTTAAATGCTAGCATTTATTGACTAGACATCAGTATAGCTTTTAATCATAGCTGTTGTGCAGTTGATTGGAAGCTACACTTAAAGGAGGAATGTGAGTTTTCTTATTCTATTCAGATATACCTCCCTGTACTGAGCCCTTCACATAAACTATCTCATTTAATTGTCATAACACTGCCTATAAAGTAGATACTATTATCCTCATTTTGTAGATTAAGAAATTGGGGCTTAGAGAATTTGATACTTGCCCAAATTATTGTATTTCTCCTTTATTGTAAAAATAGTCATTTTTATCATCTGCAATGAGAGTGTGTATATATATGCTTTAAATATCTCTGTAACTATGTAGTTGAAAAAACTCCCATTTCAAGTATATTTCTTAGCCGTATTTGAAATACTTCTTACATAGTCCAGCTACATTTTTTTCATAAATTTGACTTATTTTCATTTGAGAGAATACTTGGCTTCCAGGTGGAGAAATAAATTTAACTTACAGGAGCAGAGAAACCAAAGACATGCCAAAATTGGTGTGTATCTTAAAAGAGAATTCTAATTATAAGGACCTCTTAAATCTAAAAGCTTTTCCCTTTGGTATAAGCCATTGACTGTGTGAAACATGGTGTTTTACATTGAAAGCGGTATTTGGGATGAATTGCTTGAAGCACCATGGTTTTCTGCAAAAACATTATAGGGGAAGATCAAATAAGAAGATGCTTACTGCTGCAGATCAGAAGAATAGATCAATAAGAGGGAACAGTAGAGCAGTCATGTTTTAAAGAATTAGTACACAGGAGAAAAGAGCTGTGGGTCAAAGAATATAAACACACACACACATTCTGACATATCTTATGTACACACAAACATATATACACATAACGTAAACATAGATGCATTTTAGTCAGGTGATCCAAATGACTCCATTTATGCATTTTTCTGGCCATATACATTATCCCCACGAGATCTCTTGTCAGCTGTCTCGTGGAAAACAATTAAAGAACTGACTATTTAACATTTATCGGACCCTCACAATATATAAGCACTGTGCTCAGTGATAAAGATATAACAGAGAAGATTGTCTTTGTCTTCAAGGGCTCCCAGCATCCTTGGGAAAGGTGTTATTGCAGTGGCATGATGAAATAGAAGAGACGTTCACAGAAGTACATGATCATAGAGGAGTTGTATTATGGAGGGCTTTTTAGAGGAAGTGATATCTGAGCTGAGTCTTGGAGAGCAAGCCACAGTTAGTCAAAGGGAGATGGGAAAGGTGGAGGCCCTTCCAGGACACAGCATGAACGAAGGCCAGGAGCTTGAAACAAAACAGTGTGTATGGTCTGGGGCTGCTGGAATATGGTGATGAGGGAGGAATGAGAGGTGAAGGTGGAGAGATAGGTCAGATCTAGTAGGGCATGGTAAGGTCAAATGTGTTTCTTAGATCATTCTAGTAGCTGTGTGGAGAACGGTTTTTGTGTAGATAAAACCAGAGCTCAGGATCCAGTTTCAGGTGCTATTGTAGAAACGTAGGCAAGAGATGCTGAGGGTTTGAATCAGCATCATGGTTCGGTGGTACCCAGGACTGGGTAATGGGGGTGGAGGGCTTCAGCAATGTTTAGGAGGTACAGTTGGTTAAGACCTGGTGCTTATTTGCATGTGGACAGATAGATCAGGATTTCTCAGAGTTTTAACTTGTGTGTGGAGGCGTGGTCAATTTAATTGAAGGTGTCTGTGTTTTATCCGGGAAGAGCTGATTAGCACAGGGGTAGTTTAGGCTAGAGTTTGAGAAAGAGGTCTCTGGTGACAAATTTGGGAGCTGTCAACCTATAGGTGTATGAAATTGACTACACAGCTGCTTCTGCATAGTACGTTGTGTTGTCTTTTCCTCCTTATACCTGAAAGCAAAGATGTACATCTCCATCGAGAGACGGTAATTAATATTATACCTCCAGGTTATGCACGAACAACAGAGTGAGCCCATAGAATAGGAGATGCTTTAGGAAAAATGCAAGTAACCAAAGGGTTTGTGGTTGCTTTCTTCCAGGTGCATCCGTGGAAATGCCTGCCGCGCAGGGATATTGCTTGAGTTGACCTTCCCGCGGCCCATTCTTTTGAGGACCCTTTGTTCAGTCCAAAATGGCAGAGAAGGCGCCCCCTGGCTTAAACAGGAAGACATCAAGGTCGACACTTTCTCTTCCACCGGAACCGGTGGACATCATTAGGAGCAAAACGTGCTCCCGTAGAGTGAAAATCAACGTGGGGGGCCTCAACCACGAGGTCCTGTGGAGAACGTTGGACCGGCTGCCCAGGACCCGCCTGGGGAAGCTCCGGGACTGTAACACGCACGAGAGCCTCCTGGAGGTGTGCGATGACTACAACCTGAACGAGAACGAGTATTTCTTCGATCGGCACCCTGGAGCCTTCACTTCCATTTTAAATTTCTACCGGACAGGGAAACTCCACATGATGGAAGAAATGTGCGCTCTCTCTTTCGGCCAAGAGCTTGATTACTGGGGGATCGATGAGATCTACTTAGAATCCTGTTGCCAAGCCAGGTATCATCAAAAGAAGGAGCAGATGAACGAAGAGCTGCGGCGGGAGGCGGAGACCATGCGCGAGCGGGAGGGCGAAGAGTTTGATAACACGTGCTGCCCTGAAAAGAGGAAGAAACTGTGGGACCTGCTGGAGAAGCCCAACTCGTCCGTGGCTGCAAAGGTACGAAAAGCAGAGCGTTGCTCGCTTTCCTGTGCGCCGTCCGAAAAGGTGGTACCTGTATTCTGGAGAGCGTGGTTTTCTTCGTTTAAGATGTTTGGGTAAGAGAACCCAGGATGGCTGTGCAGGGAGACATCCTTTCCAAGATCTTATGGAGTGAAGGCGAGTTATTCGTTCTGTTAAGGCATACGATGGCGTTACTCTTTCCTAACTGTTACTATTATGTAGGCATAGACTAAGGCAGCAGGGCGATGAAGAGTTCGGGTCACCCTGGCGCTGCCTGGGGTTGGTGACTTGGAGGTTGAGGAGAGAGCACAGCTCAGATCCATCAGGCGTGGAGTCTTGCAGAAAGGCCTGGGCTCCATCCCAAAGAGAAGCCAGGTGCTGTCGTTGAAGGTGGAGGAGGTGCCTCCTGGTCTGGTTCTCTGGAGGTGCTGGGGAGACTGGAGAGCGTGGCCCCGTGTAGCACAGTGAGCTTGGGGCTCCCATATGAGGAAGGAGCTGCCTTACGCAGCAGTGTAGGGATGAATCAATGTCAGCGTGCATCCGTTGACCTCCCCTCGTGAGGTCTACTCTGACAGTGATGTTTCTGTCTGTTGGTGTATAAATGTGTCCACAACGGAGGTATTCCCATATCTCAGAGTTCACAGAGTGTTTGCTGAACACGAACGTCAATTCATATTTTTCCATTGGGCCTGCATACATCTAAATCTCAGGGTAAAATTTTTGGCCACTAATTTCAGTATTTAATTCAACGGTGTGACTCTGTTTGTCTGCTTTGATTTAGAGCTTTGAGGGTTAGTGCAAACTGATTTTCATCTCATATATTTAGTTCTTTATTTCAGTGTGAATTGTAAGAAAAAAGCCAAAAGAGTCATCTGTAACCGTAGAAGCGCAGTATTGATACTTCATGCAGATTAGATGAAAATGGAATATGCAGTAGAGAAGAGAAAAGAGTGTGTTAGCCTATAAATTCTTTGGATTACTGTTGTTTTCAATTGTCTTTTCTTATAAACAGTAAAGATTACAGAAGTATAATTGTTTCTCTGTGCTTTTTGACTGGAAATTAAAATTCTCTAAAATTCTCCGCGATAGTCTACACCATATAAATATTGTAAATAACGGGCTGAATGTAGACGATCATAAAGCCGTCTTCTTGCCCCGATGGATATTTCTAGTTTTGCATCTTTTGACTCCTAAAGTCATTTTACTTTCTTGCCAGGATGTGGAACTAAATGGAATAAAATGTTATTTCTGCTGTATGAAATGAGGAAATGCACATTTTGTGGCAAATGAAATATTTCAATTAGGTCTTTTTGTAGTTACGAATAATTTGTTTACTTTTGTTTCATCTGTAGGAAAGAGAGAGATGTGGGATTTGGTTGAGAAAGGTTACTGTTCTTTCCAATGTCAAGTGTTTAAGTTACACATTTGAGTTACTACTAAAAATATGGTGTGAATTTTGAAGCAGAATGAGATAAACCCTGGATTTAAGGGAGTGTTTTGGGTGTCAGATGAACTCTTTCGAGCTTTTAGGCAACTGAGGAATAAATCATTGTACCACGAGATGTTCCAGAGGGAGGTAACCAAATATGTAAAAATAACAGCTAAATCCAAGAAAATTTGAAAGATTCATGTGATTTATTTGCTGATAACATTACTAACACATACCTAAAATTAAGTATTGTTATAGAAAAAAATTTCAAACATATACATACTTTTTTCTGAAGAATTTCTGCTAAGGATGGGAAAAGGTCAGTAACCTCATTTCCCAGATGAGGGAGTTAATTTAATCTCTAAATTTTAGACACAGGGCCATGTCTTTTTTTTTTTTTTTAACACCTCTATTGGAGTATAATTGCTTTACAATGGTGTGTTAGTTTCTGCTGTTTAACAAAGTGAATCAGCTATATGTATACATACATCCCCATATCCCCTCCCTCTTGCGTCTGCCTCCTACCCTCCCTATCCCACCCCTCTAGGTGGTCAGAAAGCATCGAGCTGATCTCCCTGTGCTATGCGGCTGCTTCCCACTAGCTATCTGTTTTACACTTGGTAGCATATATATGTCAATGCCAGTCTCTCAGTTCGTCCCGGCTTACCCTTCCCCCTCCCCACGTCCTCAAGTCCATTCTCTACGTCTGCATCTTTATTCCTGTCCTGCCCCTGGGTTCATCAGAACAATTTTTTTTTTTTTAGATTCCATGTATGTGCGTTAGCATATGGTATTTGTTTTTCTCTTTCTGACTTACTTCACTCTGTATGACAGACTCTAGGTCCATCCACCTCACTACAAATAGCTCAATTTTGTTTCTTTTTATGGCTGGGTAATATTCCATGGTGTATATGTGCCACATCTTCTTTCTCCACTCATCTGTCAGTGGACACTTAGGTTGCTTCCATGTCCTGGCTATTGTAAATAGTGCTGCAATGCAGAGCCATGTCTTTATCTCTAAGAAGATGATGTTGATAATGGCCTATTGTCTGTAATACACCACTATATACCCCTGTACATCAGACAGAGTATTTAAACTTGCTTCAAATTATGTTTGCAAATTATGTATGTACAGATAAGATATCTACCTGCAAACTATACCCAGCAGCCAAGGACCTTGGTTTTGGAAACTTTTATGTAGTTATAAATAATAAATTTGGTTCTGTTGGTTCCGGATTATTAATCAAGCTACGGGAATCTCTGCTAACCTAGGCAGATTCTCTACTAAATTTCCATAAAGGATTTGTGTTTGTTTCTTTAAATGTCTACATTTCCCTCTCTGTTTGAATAGGGAAATATTATGCAAATTCTTTCCATTTGATTACATGGTAGTTAAGTGAAAGCATTGTTCATTTGCCTGAGGTTTGGAGCCTTTTAAAAATAGCTCTGTGTGATGCCTTATGTAAACCACTACCTTTCCTGTACTCTTCTCAAGTCATGTAACTTGTTATTTTTTGAGAATAATTATTGGTGTGGGGAGTGCTAATGCTATGTGTGTGTGAAAATGTGTGAATAGTATTTTTACAACTTAGGAAAAATTCATTTTGTCAAAGCTTCAGTTGGTTGGTACTCTAGCCCTCACTATATTATGGGTACATCAGGATCCTGCTTGTGCTATGAAACTCTTGTGTAGGAACGCTTGGAATCTATGTGTTTTTTCTCACTTGCTTGGGAGGTAAGATATCTTTGGAGGAAAGTATCTGTTTACCTTGCCTTTTCAGTTATCGCTTATTCAGTAATAATTGGTAATTCGGTTGAATGTATATAGATTGTTCTTTGTGTGCTATACACATTAGACTAGACGTGTAGAAACATACTCCCTTCTCTCCAGAATTTAAAAAATGCTCTCTTAGCTTAAACAGGGATTTCATATATTTGAAAATACTTGATTTCTTTCTCTTTTGGTTTTTCTGTATTTTATAATTTATAATAGTTCTGTAATAAAATATAAATGTTGTGAGATTACTTGCCAAATCCCTAGCATAGCAGAGAACTTTGACCTTTTCTATCAAATATTCCACAGTATATTAAAATATCTATTCACTGACATGGACTAAATGCTCAGTAGTCTATTAAGTAATAATTGTTCAGCCCATGCTAGGTGTATCCACTGTGCTATATGAAGTTATCGCAAGGCCAGCTGATCTGTTATACCATCTTTGGGTATGACCCTGACAATAGCAATTCAGCTCTTATGGAACATGCTCCTTGGTGTCATTGCTATTAATTGAACTTTCTAGTATATTAATAACTGAAAAAAATGCCAAATAGAGTTTAAAAGTGGGATATATTTAAAATGTCTCTGTTTAACAAATTAACATTTTTATACATTCACAGATTACCATGCAATACAATTGTACTTTTCACAAAATGGTAACAGGACTAAGAGACGCTGGTAGTTTTCTGGGGTGTGGTGTGATCTAGTAATGGGACCCGAGTTTATGTTTGTGGGATGGACTTTGTTTTTCAGTCCTCTGTATCTAGTGACTGTGTATTTTCCCTGACCTGGAGATAACGTACAAAGTGTACATTAGAGGCTGTTTGTGAATGTGGGCCCAGCTAAATGGGCCTGGGGAACGGCTGGGACAAATCTCTAGTTTGCCATGACATGGAATTGCAGGCTCTGGGATGCCTGACATAGGAACATGCAAGGGGAGGAGAACATGCATGGGCTTAACTGGCTGCCAGTTTCCTGCGCAGTTATTTGGAATTAGACTTGATCCGGTACCTCTTCCAGCCCAGGACAATTTAGTCAGCCTCTGAATTGGAAACATTTTCCTCTTTTCTTTAGCCTTTTCCCAAAGGAATTGCAGTAGCTATTCCCCTTTAGATACTGCGTACAGCGACTCGGCTCTAAGAGGTGTTTGAAAGTGTTTATGTAAGGGAAACGTGTTCTACGGCAGGAGGGCTTATCAGCCTCTTGGATGAAAAATGACCAGGAAGAAGCACAGCCAACCTGAGAGCTGAATGGAACTAGACTCAGTACCCTACAGCGCCCTCACTAGGATATCTGAGGAAGGTCAAGAGCAAAGTCAGCGGGTCTTCAGGCAAACCCAGTTAGGAATGGCTGAGCCCAGGAGGCAAACCTCAGTCCGGAAAGTGAGTGGACGTGGTGTGCAGGACAGTGCTGGCCAACAGGCCAACCCCAGGGGTCTGGTCAGGAAACCAGACTGTAAGCAGCCCTTATTTGAAAAGGACAGTATAAGGCGAAATCTGCAGAAGGACCTTCCTGATCATCTGAGCCAGTACAGCTACAGGTACAGAGCGCCACCCAGCAGCCCTGTTGGGCAGGGTCCAGGGTCGATGGGGACCACTCCTGATTATCTGCTTCCCTCTCCAATGTCCCCATTTATCCACAGCTGTCATTCATTTAAGGGGTACATTTTTTTCCCATTCTCCTCTTCTCCTCTCTTTCCCCACCCCCCTTTTCTCTCTCCGTCTCTCATCCTCAGGAAAATGGAAAGGATGATTGATTAGAGAATTATTAACTTTTTTCAGTAATGACCCA